ATTATAGTACGTATTATGCTATTGTATGTGTACTATTTAGGTATTAATTTTCTTTGTGCCTTCTCCTTTGTTTAATGGCCCCAGGATTACATTTTTAACATTTTAAAGGTAGTGCAATGTTTGTGCTCTACGTAGGTAAGTTTGGGATTATTCTTTGTGTTTTTAATCTATAAAAGCAAAAAACTCTCACATTGAATGTGTTCTGCTGCATTTTTTATGCATGCTTTATATATTAATTAAGACTCGACTATGCTTAAATGGTCTTCACAAGTTCATATGAAAGGAAACTAAAGGCATACCAGGTGTTTGTTAAAATTTCAAGGTTGTTTCATTGCACTTGCCTTCAAGTACAATTTTTTAAGGTAGATTCTATATATGGTACTCATAAGGTACCATACCTTCATTCACATCATAGTTGGTTAAATACGGTACGGGAATTAAACGTGGTTTAATACGTATGTGTTTTATTCGGTAACTTGAACTAAAAATACGGTCAAAAATTCGGCAAAAAATACGTTCTTTTTAAAAACGTTTAAATACGTATACGTGTATAATACGACATCTCTTAGAAAAATTCGGGTTAAAATTACGGGTCTTATTTTGAATGATTAAATTATTGTACTGGTTTCTAGAGCATAAAAAACACATAGTACATAAAGGATAATAAAAATACACACGCATTCAAATAGAATAGCTCATTACTCCATCAAAAAATGCATTCATAATAGCATAAGTTCATGACAAAAAAGAAAAAATGATTAAGTCCAAAATAACATTTAAATTATATACTTCATAAAATAACATATAATAAAAAGAAATAAGAGTGTACACGTATTGAAGTAGCAAATCACATTAATACATAAAAGAATAATCCGTAATTGCACAAGTCCAAGACATAATTTTGCTAAGTAATGTTAGAAAATAAGGCATAATAACGATAGAATGAGACCAAATTAACATCATCATCATCATATCATCTTTATATGATCTCCAAATAACATTCAAGGTAAACTCATCATTTTCACCCAAATGATGGATGACGTATGAGAAAGTTGTGCGCTCGCTACAGTTATTTTGTTTAGGTGTAAAAGTTTATACTAAAAATTGTCAAGTTTAGAAAAACTTTAATTTTGATATGTTTGTTTGGAAAAGAACATCACAAGTCTAATAAGTAGTACAAAGTAGTATTTTAGTTTTTAGTCTTTTAGAATGCTAGTTTTAGTTATCATGCAAATAATTTTAGTATTTAACAAGTGTATATTTTGTATTGTAACAATACAAAAACTCACGGGATCACGGGGATGAGCTTTTCTTTTTTGCTTTTAAACTCTTGTTGATCTAAAGTGATCCGATCATGTTTCTATTTTTTGTAAAATACGGGAAATATACGTTTTATACGGGAAGTGGGAGTTTTTTTCCTTTTTAAACGGACCGACATTATTTTTCGTTTTAAACGCGTTTTTTTGTTCAAAAAAACGGTACGTGTTTAAAATGCGTTTTAAACGCCAAAAAGCTAACTAGGATCCACATGGACTAATCAAAATGTTGCACTTGAATTATTTAAGTCTAAATTAAAAATGATATACCTATTTGGACCAATCAAATTAGTAGGTAGGTACGGTACCTCATTTTTTTAAATGGGTACCGGAGTTCTCACCATTTTTTAATCTAAAACATCAATTTTTACTTCTCCTAAAGATTGAGTTCACTTAAGCTTACCAGCTTAGAATGATATATACTCCGTAGTCCGTATGTGTTGTTTTCAATGACATGCAGCCATATTGACATGTTTTCAGCTCCCGAGACATATTCAAACAACAAACATTTACATAACAAAATCACTTGAATTAGAAGAGTACATAACAAAATGTTATGTTCAAAAAAATGCTTATACGTATAGAAATGAGTTTAGGATTACTTTAGGAGGTCACAGGTTCTAATCTCATCCCAGTTCAAGGATGTGACATTAACATTAAGCAGATATTATATAGGTTAAAAAGAATTGTCCAAAAAAAAAACTAAACCCACTAAATATTTCTTTATATACCTAATAGAGTACTTCTACCGTTGTAAATTTCAATTTATGAACTTACCTAAATTATATCCACACAAGTCTAGCTCCTGGTTCATAATTTGCAGGAGTTTTTTCCCTCGTGAACTAGGAATGGTTAGTCATATTAAATGTTTGTTACTACAATGTAACCTGTTGTTTTCAAGTGGGGCGGGACTGGTAGTAAAATTAGCAGGGATGAAACTTCCAAAATGCTTAGATATTTAGTATCTATGTTGGGTATAAATTGTACAATGCTCATTTAAAGCAAAAATATAACTGTAAACACTAATTAGAAACTTGAATTTTCCAAAGAAAGCATATAGATTATGCAATATTAAGCAAAATGGCTTATTGGCTTAATATGAGTTGTAAACTATACATCAAGGACACTGCACTAGGTCAATGAAGATCAAAGCCGCTATTTATTTTGATCCACGGCCATAACGTCCTCAGACTTGCTTGAATCGGTAGGTGCAGCAAAGAAGCACATCGAGCGAGTCGAGCATGCCATCTATTACGCAGGACGTATCCCTGCATCTATTTTCGGTTGGCTTGTCTTCTCTTTATACCATTCTTCTCAGACAGTTCTATTTTTAGATTATTCTTATTATATTCTTCCTCGATACATATTACCAAACCTATTTTCAGTTGTGCAAAATTAAAACCCAAAAAATTATTAAGTTCAAAGCAAGTACAAGTTGGGCATATTACATTCGTGCAACGCGCGAACAACATTCTAGTAAGTGAAATAAATATCTGTAAATGCACTAATACGAGTATGATTTACAGTGTTGGGGTTTATTCCTTCAACCCTTGGGTCCAACACGTAAACCCAAGGATTCCGAGTGGATTATGTATGAATATCTAGCCCTACAAGCAAGTAGTATGGGTCAAGGAAGAAGGTAGGCAGCAAGTAAATGTTTAGGTATTATTATCTCTTAATAACTCCCTAATACAATACTTATTGCTAAGGCTCGTCGGCCGATCGTCTTACAAGGCAATAGAAGTGCTGCGAGTAAGGATGCTATAGCTATGGTGCTAAGACTAGAAAGTTGCCAACCCTTTATAATGAAATAAATGCTCCTATTTATACCCGCCAATGGGCAGGTAGCTGCGCTGGCGTGGAGGGCCGCGACTGGTTGTGCTCCAACCACCAAATCTCCAGCATTAAATGCGCTTCCCGCCAGAATCTAGACTTCCCGCCTAACTGGTGGGGACGCCCGTCCATCTGGATGAGCTGGATTGCCCCAGGGGACCTTCAGGGGAGTATTGGACGTTCGTCCCCTGGCCTTGGTGCATCCTCGCAATGCGGGCTGGGCTGCCCCCGATGGCAATGGGCCTGCTCTGACGACGTTCGTCTCCATTTGGGTGAGCCATGCTCCTGCTCCCTAACCCAGCTTAGATGTTCGTCGAGATGGGCAGCTGGGCCTAAACCCCACAACAGACGTTCGTCCCCCCGGAGGATATGGACCCCGACGGGTCAGCCTATTGTCTCATCCGGACGTTCGTCCGGAAGAAGGGGTAAATGGGCCGAACTCCGGTTTGGGCCATTAACCCAACACAAGTCCCCCACTTCTGATGTTCTGGGCATGCGCAGGACATAAGGAAGTATGATCTCTATTAAGGATAGACGCTCATGGCTTGACACTTGTGTTTGTCGCGCTTGGTGAAGGCATACGCTCGTGGTCATGGTGCTCAACAGCTGTCGATGGCTCAGGAACCGAGGTGACGGCTGCTGCTGCGACGGTGCACTCCCCGAGGAAATGCCATCATTACACTTCCGCCCCACGCACAGCGCGTGAGCCGGAATGCATTCCTTGCCACGTGTCGACCCCCCGTTGGCTCCCCCATCGGCGCCCCTCCTATAAATGCCGGGTTTTTCCTCTGGACTAGGGTTCCCGATTTTCGCTCTCTTGCTCTAGAGTTTCCGCTGCTCCTCGAGTCTTCTTCCCTGCTTCTGGATTCCGCCGATCTCTTAGTAAGGTAATTCTTCCCCCCTCTGCTCCTTCCTTTTGTCTTGGGTTCTCGCAACGATGACCTCAATGGAGATTTCCTCAAGTTCTGATTCCGGTTCGTCGGGCTCCTCTTCGGGCTCTTCTTCCAGCTCCGGTTCTCGCTCCTCCGGGGAAACTAGTGTTTCAGGGAACTCCGGCTCGGCCCAGACCGTGGGGGTTATTAAGGCCGATGGTGCCCATGGTGATGTCGGCGGGGCAGTAGATGTCATTGATGCGGTCCCCCTGAACGAGCGTCCTGCCACTACAACAAAACAAACCTTTTGCAACACTTTCAAAATGTTACATTAGATCATTAAAGTGTTACGAAAGACTTATGCAACACTTTTATAGGCATTACTTCAGGTCTCGTTGCATAAAGTAATATGCAACACTTTTTCTCTTATTATGTAACACTAAATGGAAGTGTTGCATAAATATCTCAAATGCAACACTTTTTTGCAACAATTTAAGGACATTTTAGGCAACACTTTTTTAAATAAAATGCAACAATTTTTAATATATATGTAACATATTTGTCTTACTATTTTGCAACACTTTTTTTATAATTCGTAATAGTTTAGTGATACTATATGCAACATTTTATCTAAAACTTGCAACACTTCTCTAGAATTATAAGCAACACACTTACCAATATTTACGTTAATAATTTTATAACATTTTTTTTAATAATTCTGAACTCCATGTTTAGATATACAACATATTTGCAATATGAAATTTTATTACGTAGTATATAATATAACATTACAAGTAAAATATTTATAATCTATAATGAATAAATATCCAACATATCATATGCTAGAAACAATAGTGGTAATTACCCGGTTGGTCTACTTTAGTCATCCCTATTTCATTTATAACCCAAAACATTATTCTTTTCATAATTAACTTTTGCCTTTTCACTTTTACCTTTTTATTTCAAAAATAGCCCATTACGGAGTACTTCAAACTAAAGCCTAAAGCACCTCATCGGCCTCCAAACTTCCACCATCGAACAGTCTTTTTCCTCCTCTCCGCCACAGAAGCAATCGAGGAGGTACAACTTGGAGACGAAATCTCCAGCCTCGCCCTCATTCACGCACAGAGACTCAATGAATTACTGGCTCTGGCAGTTGTAATCGTTGCTTCGGCAGCTATAATCGGTAGATTAGGGGCTATTGATTCCATCGTCGATGAGTTTAATTCGGTCGTTGCAGGAGGCGGAGAAGGCGGGGCGGTCATAAGGTCTAGACTTCTGGAGTATGTCATGAGGATGCTGTTGCAGAGAATGAACCGATGGGGACGCCTGTGATGGCTCTAGCTTTGAGGTCGATGGATCAAGCATCATATCCGGCCATCTCTTATTCGTTACTCAATAACCGCCTTCCGCCTTCGTGTTCATCATCCGTTGAGTTGATTGGTCACCTATCACCCCTCTCTCCAGCAACAAGCAACCTGTAACCTGTATCTACTAATGAAGTCCAAAATTGTTCAAATGGTTTGGATTCTCTTTCATTAGTAATTTTTACCATGGCCGTCCTTTGATAAGTTATGCATAGCTTCTTTGATTTCAAATCAAGTCTCACTATAAGTTTACTAAGTTTCAAGCACATATTGATTTGCTAAGACACTCACTTTGACTGCTCTTTAGCTCTACCTTTGAAGATTAAATTGAAATTTGGAGGAAATTTGGAGTAGGTTTTAACACCACCTTACTGATCAAATCATTTTCATTCTACTTTTTATGATGATATCTAAATGTTACTGGATAGCACCTCTAAGTACGCATATTTGTTCTTTTACAATGTCGGGCTATTCATAAATGGAAAACTGTTTGAATCCTAATATAACTTTATTCAATCTTCTCAATTGTAATGGCATTTTTGAAAGGAATTCAAAAGGGTAAATTATTAAGTTCTTACTTATGTTCAAATTTTATAACAGGTATAATATCCCAATAAAAGGACATGGATGAACTAAATATTTGAATGAAGAGTGAGGTGGTCATAAGGGCAGAGCACATGATTGTATATATTAGTGTTGTTACTTATAATTACTACCATTAATTTGATTTTGATATAAACAGAACGTGAACTAATGGTGTGCTTGCACTTTCCTTGGCTTGACTTTGAAAACACCTATTGAAAGCTATTACCTGATCCCCTGGGACTTGCACATGTTAAATTTATTTTAAAACAATTAAAAGCTCTTTTTGATGATTTTTTTTAAAAAGTTGTTTTTGATTGGGTGGAAGCACAAGCACATAGCTCAGGTCATACTGTTCCCTGTGTAGCAATTGATGAGGAGTATGATTATGAGCATTATGGATTAAATATTGCTTCGTAGCAGCATCATTTTCAGTTGCAAATCCTGGACAGGTATTGTTAAAGGTAAAGGGAAATTTTGGGCAGGGTTAGACCTTGTCATTATACAATATATGTATATATTATAGATATTATAGACTTCAGATTGTGTTAGTAATTGCTTCATTTTCGGTTGTAAACTTTGGGTCTAATTGTTACTGAAAAGTGTGAGATTGTGTTGTGACATCTCTTTTTTGTATTTCGTTCTTTTTTAAGTTGATGGTTTTGCTCTTGGCCAACAGAACAGGGGAAATCCTTATAATTGAATTTCTTTGAAAAGGTGGAGGTTACCTTTGTGTAAGATCACATGGCTACATCTGAAAATTGCTATTATCACCTATCATTGGATTGCTTTCAATTCTTTCCGGTAATAATGTCTATTGACTTGCTGATCTTAACACTATGGAAGTTATACCCCCTCTGTGCCATTTAAAATGGCAAAAACTTCTTCAGTGAAAAAAGGAAACTAATAAGCACTTTTCGCGGGTCGTGGTGATTGTGTTCTTACTTTGTTTCAATTGCTTACTTTGTATATTTCCTACTGTATGTTTCCTAAACATATATTTCCTACTGTCATAATGATGTATTACAAATGATTAGTGTGCCACAAGTGCTTAGTTTGTTGCCATATGTGTCAATTAATTATATTCTCATTGCAGACGTATAAAAGAGAAATAAGCACATGAAGGTGATAATAAGATTGAGAAGATCAATGATGGAAATAGAACCAAGTCTCAACAACTATGTGTTAAGATGCATAGAAAGAGGAAGATGTGATAAGAAGCAGAGCTAAACAATATAATGGTTGGATGTAATAAGTAGAATTATATATTCATTGTGAAAGTTTATATGTTATTTTTGTTTCTTTTTGTTGTATTATATGTGTTGTATTTTGTTGCAGCTTGTTGCATTTTGTTGCAATTTGTTGATTTTTGTTCTTGTGTGTTGCATCATGTTGCTTATTGTTATTTATAAATGAATTTGATTGTTGTTGTAACTACTTCTTTGGGATAACGTAATTATATATAGATTTATGTACAATTGGTTAACGTGCGAAATTTGGATATATGAATGTCGACAAGAAGAAACAATAAAACACAAAAAATTCAAAGTTATCAACAAAAAGAAACAAAAAAAAAAATAATATGAAACAAGAGTGAAAAATAAAGCTATACTACTGCTAATAATACTAATTGAATTTTATGACTATCTAAAAAATATTGGATTACAAAATTCATATTTTTCAAATTTCAATTTTTTAGTTTTTTTAAACATTTTTCACATTTATTTTCTAGTTTTTATATTTTATATGCTTTTTAAATCTAATTTAATTTACTGATATTTTAAATATAATAATTTTATTTATATTTATATTTTATTTTACAAATTTTAATATGATTATTTTCAGATTTGTATATTTATTTGTATTTTTGGATCTTTACTTTGTAATAAATTTATGCTTAATAATAAAAACATAATTTATTTTCATTTTTAATAGCTTCAAAACATTTATATTGTTACATACTCCGTATTTAGGGTTTTAGATTTTTATTGTTTTAATTTTTTTATCATGTTTTGTTTTTCAAAAATTGCTTATACTTGGATATAAATTATATTAATTATTCTAGAAAAATCATTACAGAATGGCATCTTTTTTTACAATTTTTCCAGCACTTGAAGTTATTTTAAATTTGACATTTTTATTTTTGATTTTTGTATTTTTAAATTTTCTACATGTCTTTTACAATTTTCTGCTTGACTTTTCGTATAAAAGTTTTTATTTTTTTATTTATAAATATAAGTCACAAGTTTTTTGTTTAATTTAATTTATCTTTTGTATTACATATATAGTTAATACCATTTCTTACCTCCTCTTCTTACTTTTTGCATACGGAGTATTTTATTTGACAATTAAAAACAGTTGATTTTTTTTTTTCAAATTTTGTATTAAAATATCCATAAAGAATGCCACTACTTGTTCGGAGTTCCTAGCTAGAGACGTACATTTGATCGGCACTATTGACTCACGCTTACGGCTTATCCAGAGTGTACATATTAGAGTCATTTGTGAAATAAATAGCGCTGCTAGCCTGTTTTTGAAATACTCTTTCAAAAGTGAAAAAAATGTATATATTACTTTCACTTTTAAGCTTACTTGTGTAGTTTTCCCAATCTGAATATATCTCAAAGAACACATCTATAACTAAAAAGCAACGCTGCACAGTTTGAAAAAAATTAAAACATCATACGTAGTAGTATACTTCTAACAACAACTAAAAATCTTCTAACTGGCCGGAAACTGAATAAGTAGAAGACATGCGACTTCATTTCTTCAACTCTTTTGCCTTAGCAATGCCATCGTTCTCATTTTCCACATCATTTGATGTCATTGAATACGAATGTTCAGCCGCTTTTGCCTGGGCAATTTCATCTTTCTCATTTTCCTCTTCACATTTGTTTGATTTATGTGCCTCACAATCCTACATTTCAACCTGCAATATAAAACAATACACCATATCAAGATAGCATTGTGGCAGCACCATAAAAATTTATAAGCCTTTTGACTTCAACTAAAATATCTACCTTTTACCTAAATGCACAACTTATTAAAGAAAGGTGACATGTTTTAATAGCTAAAGTGATACATACCCAACAAATGATTAGAAATGTCAGAGCTTCATAAACACAAACTGATTATTTAGAAAACTATGAGATGTTGAAGATTCCATGTGTGATTTATGAACTTCAAGGGATTATGCAATGTATGCATAAACTGCTACAAAACTAATCTCCAATGAATTTTAAGGTCTACCTTGCAAAACAATCCTCCTCATCTAAATAAAAAACTCCCAAACAATAGAAAGAAAAAATAAGACAAGTATCACTTACCATTTTTGTAGTAGTTTCTTCATAAAAGTAATTATTTTGACCCAGCTCATAGGGAGTTTTGAATTCCCCTTCCTAGATGGCTAGATAGGAAGAAAAGCGCACAAAAAAAAAACATTCTTTAAGCAAACAAGAAATAATATAGACTGTAGTACATGGATATAGCTTAAGATCTAGAACAATATACAAATCTAATATGAGCCTTCCTAAAGTAAATGGCCTGGTAGGTCTGATAAGGGAGGTAACCAACATGTATGTCTTGAGCCCATTGTTAGTTAGTGTATGGGCTATTTCTATCGATCTGTAACCGCTTTTCAGCTTAAATATGTCAGTGTTCAGTAATTATCGCATACATTCCTGCCAATATATATTCCAAAGGAGTTTTACAAATAGAAAGCAGCTTGTGAAATGTGAGAAAGATATATGGATTTTTTATTCTCCAAGTTAATGAAATTAGAATTCATGAATTGTACCAACTATATCCATAGTTACTACACGTTATGTTAGTTTGTGCTTGTGAAAGACATTAGAATATACTTTAGAATATACTTTAGAATATTCTTCTATCCTTAGAATATACTTTAGAATATTTTAGGAATATACTCTAGGATATTATTATTGTATAGAATCTTATAGGAATATTCTATCTTTGTAATGTATATTTATAGGGACTTAACCCTCCAATGAAATACACAGAAAATCATTCTCTCCATCTTAAATATTATTCTAGTTTATATTTCAACATGGTATCAGAGCCTTCCATTTTAGTTTAGTTTTTCAGATTTCAGTTTAATTTTCAGACTGGTTTCTTTCTTCAAGAATCTGAGTTCAGTCTTCAAATTATTCAGAACCTTCTTCAGGGATTTCAGTTGTTTTCAGATTCTTCAGAACCTCTAGGCATCGTTCTATCTTCAAGACAGATCCTCTACAGAACCTCTATTCAGAACCTTTCAGAACCTCTCAGTACAGTCCAAACTCTGGTGCGCATGCCATCGACACTCAGGTGTTCAAACTCTGCAGTTCCAAATTAAAGCCCTTAATACTCACGCACCTCTGAAGATAGTCGCAGATGCCGCACGCGCCGGCTCGTAACACCACTTTTCTGGCCTGAGATTTGATCGGTTTCAACAGGCTCGCCTGAGAGTCCTCTACCCCAGGTATACGTTACTTCTCTTTTGATCTTTCTCTAGAAAGGGACGATAGCTGTGGGAGGAGATCTGGTGGTAGGACGATAGCTGATTGTTCGTATGTGGTGTCTGCTGGGGTCTCACAACAGATCTGCGCATCTGCCTTGGATTTAAGTTTGGAGTCAACATTAGCCAAAGCTCACTGCGTATTTTATTCTCCCCAAGCCCATAAACGGGAAAGTTGCCGTAAGCTCAGCTCTTTTTACTTGTTTAATGAATATCTCAATTTTATTTTAACCAAAAAAAAAAACAAAAAAAAAAAAAGAAAAAAAAAAGAAAAAAAAAAAGAAAGAAAAAATGTTTCGTACAGGTCAATTTGACAGAGTAATATGCAATTACTGCAAGAAGTCTGGACACTTGCTCAAAGATTGTAGAAAGTTGGCATTCAAAAATCAAGGAAATTTGATCGCTCATGTTACTTCCGCTACCACCTCATCTGATGGATCAGTTGCTATTTCTTCAGACGAGTATGCTAAATTTATTTGCTACCAAGAATCTCTAAAGCATTCATCTACCCCTATCTCGATAGTCGCAAATTCAGGTATTTCAAACACATGTCTTGTTTCATCATCCTCAAAATGGGTCATTGACTCAGGTGCCACAGATCATATGACTGGTAATCCTAGTCTATTCTCATCATTTCACTCACATTTACCTGCTTCCAGTGTCACTTTAGCAGACGGGTCTACCTCACCCGTTCTTGGATCTGGTACTGTTGTACCAACTTCTACATTACCATTATCGTCTGTTTTGAGTCTTCCTAATTTTGCATTTAATCTGCTTTCCATCAGTAAAATCACACGTACTCTTAATTGTTCTGTAACATTTTTTCCGGGATATTGTGTGTTTCAGGATCTGTTAACGAAGCATACTATTGGTCAAGGACATGAGTCGGGTGGTCTTTATATTTTGGATACATCAATTACAAAAGGTATCTCTTGCCTTGGGGTTGGAAATCTATTAGAAGCTCATTACCGATTAGGACATCCATCTCTCTCACTAATGAAGCAATTATATCCTCAGTTTAATAAGGTGTCTTCTATACAATGTGAGTCGTGTGAGTTTGCTAAACATCATCGCACTAGTTTAAGTCCCCGACTTAATAAACGAGCAAATGCTCCGTTTGATCTTGTCCATACTGATGTTTGGGGGGCATGTCCAGTTGTGTCCAAACCTGGTTTCAAATATTTTGTCACTTTTGTTGACGATTATTCTCGTATGACATGGGTGTATTTTATGAAGCGCCGATCCGAGTTATTTACTCATTTCTCTGCATTTTGTGCTGAAATTAAAACTCAATTTAATGTTCCTGTTCGTGTGTTAAGGGGAGACAATGCCCAAGAATATTTATCTGCTCCATTTAAATCTTTTATGCTTCAACATGGCATTATTCATCAAACTTCATGCGTAGACACACCTCCTCAAAATGGAGTTGCTGAAAGAAAGAATCGACATCTGTTAGAAACTGCAAGGGCTCTTCTATTCCAAATGAATGTGCCTAAACAGTTTTGGGCTGACGCTGTGTCTACTTCATGTTTTTTGATCAATCGTATGCCATCTTCTGTTTTGGATGGTAAAACTCCTTATCAATGTCTTTTTCCAAATAAAGAACTTTTTCCTATTCCACCTAAAATATTTGGTTGCACTTGTTTTGTTAGAGATGTTAACCCTCATCGGACGAAATTGGACCCCAAGTCATTGAAATGTATTTTCTTGGGTTATTCTCGAGTTCAAAAGGGGTATAGATGTTTTTGTCCAAGTACAGGTCGATATCTTATTTCTATTGATGTCTCATTTCATGAAAATACACCATTTTCATCATCCAAGACAGATATTCATGAGGACAACGATGAAATACTCATTTACACAGTTACTATACCTGAGACCACACCTTCAGTAACTATGTCGAATGTCACTGTTCCTGACCCTAGACCTCCTGTACACTTGGTTTACACCCGTCGACACAAA